GTGGATAGCGTTCTATTAAAATAAAAAGGACTGCATACAATAAAAGTTTAGTGTTTGAATGAGCCACAAGGATCACCTAATTCACATTGCCTCTCGCAGATGAGGAAATGGAGATTAGCTAACTGGCCTTAAAGTCACAAAACTAAGAAGGAAAGGAGTCCGTCTAGGCTCTTTCCATCTTATTCTCTGGTTATTGTAGCAAATTGCTACCAAAACCTTCTCAACCCTCCCCTGTCCAATTCTCCTGAAACCAAATACTGAGCTTTTCAAATGTTTCTCATCTTGGGGCTAGGAAATTTATTTTGCGATATGCATACCAGTATCCATTTCTTGAGGCATATATAATAGAATAATTGGAAGGATGAATGAAATGATTTTGGAGCTGGGTTGATTCCCTGACTGAAGACATGGTCCTGAGTGAGCCAGGCATGTGCTGTGTGGGTAAGACTTAGGGGCTGCCATGATAAGCCAGACACGGCCCTGGAACTTTAGGGCTTCAAGAATAGTGAAACTGGCTTCTTGTTCTGCCACTCAAGAGCTAGACTTGGGATAGTTACCTAACTGTCTTAGAGTCTCAGTTTCCCCATCTCTAAATTGGGGATAATAATAGCTCATAGAATTATTGCAGAAAGGTACGCACAAAAATCCTAGTACACAGGAGCTCAGTCCATGGTAGCTGATATTAGTCACTTCATTTTACAGGTTAGAAAATTGAGCCAGAACAGCTGAGCCATGTGCTGAGGTCCACTCAGGGGTCGGCCATGTGACTTGCCCACTGATCCTTATTTAGGTGGCTAGCACTCTCTTCCCATGCTCAATGATGCACCCTTCACTTAAATTTTGTTGAATACTATCTTGTGCAGTAGCTGTTCTTTGTATTAATTTTTACATTGCAATCTCTTGGAATGTGAAAGCAGATGACTGAATGATCTAGCAGGTGTCAAGGGGAAAAACACCCCAGAAATCCTCAAATTTAATTCTTCATTTCTTATACTTAAAGGAACTTCAGAGGCCATTTAATGTATCCTCCACATTTGGTCATACAAATAAAGTCTTTGCACTGGCTTTCCTAAAAGCTATCTGTTAATTTAAAGGATGCTTATTATCATGGAATCATCCTATTAAAGCACACTCATGGTTATAGAGCTTGCTATTTTATGTTATGCATTTTAGAAACTATTCAATAGTGGGTCCCCTTCAGACTGGCATGGTGGGTTTACTGTTGTGTAAAGGAAAAAAAGGTAAAGAGGTAGATTGGTGCCCATTTAGTATATTCACATGCTTTCAGAGAGATTTAAATTTAAGGGCAAATGAAATTTTAATAAGTACTTATATGTTATCTATACAAAACTTCATTTTAGGAAAAAAATAAAGTCTGTTACCTCTTTCAGGACAGAGTTTTAGTGTGCTCGCTCTGGACCAAGGCTAGGGAGAGGTATCCTCTTCATTGAAGTTCCACCTCTCGTCTCTTTCTTCATCCTCATTAGCCATCTTTTCCCTGGGGTTTCTACTCCCTCAGGATCACTGGGGAGATTGTGGCAAATGTTGAGCCCTAGGCTTATCCAGACCAGCTGAATCTGATCTTCTAGAGGTGGGGTGGAGTGGTTTTGGGAGAATCCACAATTTAAACAAGTTCTCCAGGTGATTTTCCCTACAATAAAGTTTGGGAACATCTACAGGTGTGTCTGTTTATTGTCTCCTCTGGTCTTTGCTTTAAACTGGTGGTTCTCAAAGCTGGTTGTATGTACAAACCACCTGGGGAGGCTTGAAAAAATACTGAAGCCTAGTGATCCTGAAACATTTTGGTCTGGGATGGAGCCCAGCCAACAGCATTTCCTCCAAGTGATTTTCATTTGAAGCCAGAGTTGAGGACCAAGGCAATCCTTCCAGGATCCCTGACTGATACTGTCAATGCATCCTCCCTCTGTCCCTGTATTTTGCCCCTGTTCTATCACTTTCTAATTTGCTACTTCCTTTACTTGCGTTGTACATCTTTAATTCCTGACAGATGGGATTCATAGACCGTTTGGCATATTAAAAGGGATAGTGTAAAGCACAGAAAGCAGGAAGTAAATCAGCATTTAACGTCTGTATTGCTTGCTTGTAACATCCAGGAAGGTGTGTTCCTTTCACCATCCTATAATTCAAATGATGCCCTTTGCACCTGGCTCTGTGATTCTGATTATAAAGGTGACACACCTTAACAATAAAACAAGAGAAAAGGAGGAGCGATCCAATTGCTGCTGATGTTTCAATTTACTATTATGACATGGGGAAGGGTCCTGGGGCACATATTATTATGTCATTTTTTATATCTCCTGTTGCTTTGGGGGATTCAGGCTGAAGACTGGACTTGATCCGTTTCCTTCATTCTATGACGTGGAGACTTTTCTCCTCTTTTGGAGTTTAGTGATTGTTATTTCATTCATTATCTTCACTTAATAAATATTTATTGGGCACTACTGTAATGAAAATGCATGATCACATGCAACAATATGAATCTTGCTGACAATGTGGAACAAAAGAATTCAGACACAAAAGCAAATGTACTATATGATTTTTGTAAAGTAAAAGCAAATACAATTAATGTATGCTGTTATAAATCAGGATTGTGATTACCCATGGGGGCGTATTGAGTGGAAGGGGCACATGGGGGCATATCTGGGGTATAAGTAATGCTCTGTTTCCTAATATGGGTCTTAGATACAGAGTATATTCAATTTGTAAGAATGGATTGAGTTATTTACTTATGATTTGGGCATGTTTTGTAGCTACTCTATATTCCAATACAAGTTTAAAAACTATATAAAGAGAAATATTTACTGGGCACTGCAAGCCACTGGGGATTCAGTGGTACATAAGTCAGACACATGCCCTGCTTTTATAATATATACAGTCAGATTGGGAATACAGGCAAGTTAGAGCAAATACAATACTACGAGGTTTTCTGGAGAAAATGACAGCTAAGGTGAGCTTTGCTTTGTGAATAGGAACTGACTCGTATAAGGGATGGTGAAAGGAAGGATGTTCGTGGCAGCAGGAACAGCATGGACATGGTTCTGAAGGATGAGAGGGAAGGGTGGAACAGAGGAACTGCAATGATGTAGCACGATTGGGATGTGGTGAGTAAGAGAACCAGTGACAGAAGAGGAAAACAGATGGATAAACTAGGACTTCTTTGTAAGCCATTGCAGAAGGTGGGCAATATGCTGAAGTCAAAATTTCGTTGAGGGGGACATAGCAAAGTACAGTCTTTATCCGATGTGGCTTTAGAAGAATTATTGTCACGGCAGAGTAGGAAGTAGATTGGAGAGGGCAAGTCTGAAGGCTCAGATGCCTGTAATCCAGGCAAGAGATCATGAATCTCTAGTGATGACAGTGGCAGTGGGGTGGGGAGAGGTACTGGGAAATGTTTAGAGGTTAGTCTTGCCAGGAGTTGTTGCTACATTGGACGTGAGAGAGAAGGAGAAGTTGAAGTAGAGCAGCTAAATAGATTGTGAACTCTGGCAGGAAGATGGCGAGTTCAGTTCTGGACACAGAATGAGACTATCCCAACTCCAGCTGAGAATCCTTCTTACAAAGGTGAGTTTTCCCGCTTTGCCTCCAGTCCTTTCTTGGAGCAAGAACTATTTCAAAACGACCACATTAATGGTTAAATGAAAAGATGCTACTTGGTCCATTCATTGGGCAACACCAGATGAGTCTCTTAGCCACTAGGTTTCTCAGCTTCTTTCCCTGTAACCTGGTGGCAAGCAGCATGCTCCACCTATCCACAGGGAAGTAGTGATGAGAAAATAAAATTCCAATTCTAATCATGTTACCTAAATGCAAGGAGTTGTTATTCTTGTTATTATTGCATCACACTTAGTCTTGGAGAACATTTCCCAGTGGTTTCTTCTACAACTGATGTTAGATGATATAAAATGTCTATGTCCTCTCTAACTTCAGGTTTTCATGAAAAATATTTCTGATATTGGTGGAAAAAGGACCGGAGTCAGCCCTTCCTTTATTTTTACCTTTGAGATGAGATCTTCCTGTTCCTATATTTGTCATGTTGGCATTTTGGGTCATCGTGTGTTTCTAATAAGTTGTTCTTGAAGATTATGCTCTTTCTGAAGTTGTATGAGGTTGCTTTAGTTCTGTAACTGGTGCCACCACCACACGGGTGTGTATGCAGCCCTGTACTCAACCACTTCTCACCTGAGAACCTCGGCCCCTAACTAAAGGCCAAATGACTCCCACAGGTTGTCTCTCCCTCTCTCTGAGTATTAGTTGTATGTCTAAGGAGATAAATGAAAGTCTTTCTTGTATCATGTGTGTTTTAAAATTTTTTTCAGCATGAAAGGTCAAGTTTAATTACGTTTGCTTCACAATTTACACTAGAAATCACCAAGTTTGAGATTACTTATATGGTTGCCTAAAGTTTCTAAGTTAGGTTCAGTGTATGATGTTTTGAGGCAGTCTGACTTAACCATGTATCCTCATTAAGTTCTGAAATAATTTTATAATCATCATATATCAATATGAAGGTTTATTATTTTTAATATTAGGCAAAATATAAATAACTATTTCCTGGAAATATTAGATGCTAGAATCAATTGATATAGTTCTGTTCCAGATACAATAAATAACTTGATGGTTGTTGAATATGTAGTATTACATGCTGTTAGAAAAGAATCAATCTGACTGGAGAATTTATTACATATTTAATTTACTTTCACCATCTCTGTGTATCTTACTGCCTTTCTGAATATTGAAGTTGTACAGTGATCTTTATGCTTAGAGATTCCAGATGTATTTCTGGTCATTTTCTTTTTTATATCTGTTCTTTAATTCATTAATTCTTTTTTTTAACCTGTGCCCAAACCATTCTTTAATCAATACACTAAGATTTTTTATTTTGCTGATTAGATTTTTTATTTCTAGTATTTCTGTTTAGTTGCATTTTAAAATCTGCTTGTCTTATTTTTGCTTTACAAATTATATAATTTCTCTGATTTCATTCAGCATTGAAAACAATCTTAGGTTGCTTTTTACCCATAACTCTTAGGTTGTGAATTATGCTGTTTGCTATATCAGCTGATTCTTTTCTGTGCTGGTTTGCTGTCTTCTGCTGTAGTTTTTGACTGTGACCTTATCTATTGTGAAAACTCTTCCACACGCCTTGGCCAAGGGCTGCAACATTCAGGGGGACTCAGTTTCCCCAAGATAAACCTTGTCTTGGACCTTTTTATTTTCAGACCTGCCTTCCTCTCTACTTCCAGAAGTGCCTGGTGCCACTGATTTCTGAAACACTATCCCATGAAACTATACTCTTCTATTTTCATTTCATCCATATACTTGTGGATAAGAAAGAGCCATATTTAAAAGCTTCAATTAAGAATATTTTAAAACACGAATGTACATGACATTAACTATGACCATGGGGTGATTGTTTTACTGTTCATATATTAGTTACGCACACATGTATCATCATATAATGGCCATCAGAGACACAAAGCTGAGCAGAGCTTATCTCATTGAGGAGATTAAAGAACAGTTCTTACACAATCTGATAAACACTATTGCAGAACAAAGTGTTCTGGGAGACCAGGAGATAATAATTATAGCAGCAGTTTATGAATATTTATTTTGTGCCAGGCACTGTGCTAAAGATCTAGTTTTAGTGATAGCTCTGAAAGGCAGCTAACAGAGAAAGACACAGGTTAATATTCTCATTTTATAAGTGAGAAAACAGAGTTCATCTGTGGAACAAGAGTTATACCCCTAGTAAGTGACAGAACTGGCTTTTCAAGCAGACGTCTCTTGTTCTGAACCACTCTTTATGAGGAGAAACTGGGGAGGACTTCAGACAGGAGATGACAATTGAGCTGGGTCTAGGATGAGGAGGCATCGGCCAGGTACGGGTGTTCTTGAAAAAAAAGTCCTAAAGGCATGTGGGGGTCTGAAAATGGGGGGCAGCTTGCTGTGATGGCGACGTAGGAAATGCGGAGGCAAAGCGAGTGAGGAATGAAGATGAGTCTGGAAAAGTAAAATGGGGGAAAAGGTCCTCAAGACCTTACAGCCTATGAGCATCCTGGCCAGCCATTTTACTTCACCAGGATTCAAGAGGAGTAAAGGGGTGAGGCACCCCTTTACAAATTGAAGTTAGGGGTAAGTAGACCATTGATATACATTTAAATAAGACAAAGTTAATATTGGCCTTGTGAATGAATTCTGTTACCATTTGCTTTGTGGGAATTTTTTATGTACCAGAGAGCTACTGTCAAATATGCAGGCTGCACCTACCATTCTGATGTGTTGTTTACCCTGCAAACACTGATGGCCTCACTGCACTGTCCTTCCCTTGCTGCAAAGCATCTGTTTCAGTTTATTACTGAACTCCACCTTTGGATTTTCAAGCAGCAACTTTTTTTTATGATTTGCTAAGGTTGAACTTTGCAAGACAACAAAAATCCCAAAACACCTGTGTTCTGAAGAATACATGCTCTGTACTCTATTTAATGACTTTAGGCAACAAAGCTAAAGATATAATAACAATTAATAATAACAAAACTTGTGGTAACATTTAGAGTATTGCCAGTGATCTGTGGTGTTTTATCATTTTATTGACATATGAATGTTTGATTATCAAATAGGTAGAAACATCTCTCCATTATGTATCATCACTCAGATATTGTGCTGTAGATTAGGGTTTTTTTTTTTCAATATTACAGTGACAGTTTTTATAATTTGTGTAGGAAAATCATGTTTTTTGAGGCATTCTTCTAGATTCACAAAGGGATTCCCCTATTTCACTAGTGTATATTTTACGAAAAGTGAAGACATATAAAGCGTTGCTATTTATTGCCGCCCTTTGCCGATATAGATATTTCTTTTTTGAATACGTGTGTAGAGTGATTCAACAGAGGCTATCCGAGCACACTATTTCATTCGAAATCCCAGTGAAGTGTCTTGTCACTTGTACAAGCTTGGTTGAACTTGTGTGCTTGGATTGTGTTTACTGTCAGCTGTTCCTTTCATTTCAGTGTGGGGTAATCACTAACTTCATGTATTTATTTCCATTTTGCCAATTAACTTAAGTTGTTAGTGCAGATTTATATGTCCTGGTTCTTCTAAGTCTTTGCCAGTTACTTTGGAACATTGAACACTTAACTGTGCTTGCTCTGGGGTACTAGCAATGAAACGGTAATTAACTGAGATGGTTGCATCTTTTCCTTAAAAGCTAGAGAATAGGATTACTGTCCAATAAACAGGCTGAAAGCAACATAATGATAACTCTTTTGATAATAAGTTTTTACTTATAGTTAACATAATTTTTTACATTAAACACTACAGAAATGAAAACTAATTAAATTATGGCTTGTCAGATGTAATAAAATGCCAACAGATCAAATCTGGCTTGGCTCAGCAATGCTCTAGAATTTATGTGACGTTTTAAATGAATCATAAAATGTTAATTAAGCAGAAATCTTCACCAAATCTGAGTAATCTGATTCAGTTCAGCTGTAGCTATGAAGCAAATAGAATTTTCTTTTCTAATTACATTTTTGTTATCTTTAAAAATTCATTTATGGTTATCGAAGACACACTTAGAAGTAACTTTAAAAAACGTTTTAAGATTAATCTTTTTCATCACTTCCAACATTTTGGTCATTTTCCTGTGGTGAATAGTGAAATAGGGATGAATTATTTCAAATGTTGTCTCAATAGTTACATTGAACTTCAGAGACTCTTCGTAGTTATCAATAGATTAGCAACATATGCCAAGTCTCTACTGATATAACTAGATAAGTATGCTAAGGAACTGAATAGATAATAAATACATATATATGTGTGTGTGTGTGTGTGTGTGTGTGTGTATACTGTGTCTATGTGTGTGTCTGTATATGTGTATATATATATATATATATGTAGTGTATAGGAATATACATAGTTTGTGTGTATATGTGTGTATATGCATAGATGCTGGTATTTGTATATGTATTGTGTATATGTATACATATAGCACCTGTATTTGTGTGAATGTTTATGTATATATACATTTTTTCCAACCCATTATGATTTTATAAGCTGCTTAATATAAATCTGGTACTTTAAAAGTGTGAAATCCAGGGATGATATGAGAGGGTTTATTTGTGTTGTGTGACCTTTAGATACTTGATTTGGGGCACAGATGAAGAAAGAGATGAGGGGAATCTGAGTTGGGACATTCTGAAAGTGATACAGAGGGAGAGATATTCTCGGTATACCAAGGTCTGGTGTATTCAACGGGAGCAGCAAACCCTTACTCATTCTCTTCCTAAAAGTCTTCAACTCAGTTTACTGGGAGATCTTTTTTAAAAAAAGGTCAATATATTATCAATTTTATCATGATTATTTAAAGTATCTATTTTTAAAAGCATATATAGCCATTTTTGTAGATACATTATCTGGTTTCATAAAATCAGAGATTTTTAGACAGTACTTTAATCAGCAACTTTCTTTTCCTAAGTTTGATACAACATGTTCTTCAGCAAGAGGTCATGGTCATTGCTGACATTTTCTTGGTCGTAGCATTCTTTCTTTTAGATTCTGAGTCTCCGGACAATTAAGAATCTGTGAAAACGGGGTGTGTGTGGAATGAATTAGCTTGTGTTAGATTTCCACATTCCCAGGGAAGTTCATTTCTTCCCTTTGTGAAACCTCTCCCTGTGGTTTATAGTTTGTGCCTTTCTCTGTTAAGACTCAAGTGTCTGTTTCCTTCAAAGTTTACTACATTTTTGAAAAGAAAAGCTAGCACAACTATTTTTATGTGGATGTGTCCATCCTAGACAAAAGGATTTTAACTTTCTTCATCTCAAAACCTACGATATTTGCAGATCTTTTTCATTAGAAGGCTAATGGCTCATTTGAACATCTGTTTCTTTTTCTCCTTTAGGGATTTCCAACTATTCCCCAACCTCTGAGTGAATATGACAAAAATTACTCTGGTGCTCTGTGCTAACATAATGTAGAATGAAATGTATAATCAGATGCTCATTTCTAATAGACGCGTCAATCTCAGTGTATCTAAAGGTGGACTCCTGATATCCAAACCCCAGGCTACATGCCTCACCACCCTCCCCTCTGGCAACCTACCATTTCCTGCACCTCATCAATACCAGTTGATGGGATCATCATCTTTCCAGCAATCCCCATATCACCTTGGCCCATACCATCCTTGTCTACCTTCTCTATCTCGCCCTTTGACTTTTTCTTTTTCCCCTAGCACTTACTGTCTCTTAACACACTGTATGATTCACTCATTAATAATGTGTATCATCTATTGTCTGTCTCTCTGAATTAGAATGTAAGATTTCTCAAAGGCACAAGGGCAAGGATCTTTGACCCAAAGGCTTGCAATAGTGCCTCCATGGAGGGCACACAACAAATATTTGTAAATAAAGGATGAAATAAGCAATAAAAACATTCCATAAGAGAGTCTTTCGTTGGCTATTTTTAATGTTTAGAAGTAGCTAGAAGTATTCAATATCAAAGAATCCCTTGCTGACTATCTAAATAAAGACTATCCCAGATTTGCTATGATTTGGCTGTAAAAATAACAGTAAGCTGAGTTACGTTGGTTTCTAGGGATATCCAGCAAGTAAAACAATGTGTACGGACTAGAAGAATGTCTTTCTAATTTATTAATAATTAATCTTTGATATGAAACACTTCGAGAACTGGTGCATGTGGAAAAAGACATTTGCTGTGGTCCTGAGAAAAATCCAGTTTCTCTTTTGCTGCCATTCTTCTAATTCAGCATGGTCACCTTATTCAAAGAACTCTGCTCTGATCCTGACAATACTCAATACATTCGATGATTAAATATTTTTCTGTTTAAACTCTCTCATTCCAGCTGCAGAAATTAAAATTAGGTAGTTTTGTTTACTTTCTGGCCCTAAGCAAGAAAATATATTTGTTTTCATTAAAATTTTTCTTAGAACATGAGGGAAAAAGTAATGAGGAGAAATAATTCATATTTCATTTTCTTTTCAAATAAGACAGAAGTCTATTATTGTTTGTAAGCTAAATTGTATAGATAATTTGTGGGTTGCCAAAGTTGAATTTTATAGTGAAAAGAATTATTACCATTTTAGCTTTTCCAGAAAGACTGGCTTTTACTGAATGTGTTTGATTAAAAGAGTCTGAATCTCAGATACCTTATTTTGAGTGATATCAATTCATTTTCTATACTTTACTTTGTAGGACCAGTATTTCAACTGATATGATGATCTACTTCAAACTGACATAATAGTTAGAGTTTTAGAACCAATGGGACAGGAAGAGAGTTTTAGAACTAGTGGGACAGGAATAAATGATTAAAGAACTTATAACCTGTGGTTCTATAATCTGATGTAAACCATCAGAAGATTCATACAACTTCAGAACTGGAAGGAAATTGAAGATCTTTTTCAAAAAACTAATTTTTTATTTATCAGAGGTTTCACTGAGGGACATTCCATGACTTGCCCAAAGGTTTCCCCTTCACACAGCTGGTTAGTGGCAGGACCGGAGCTAGACACAGGCGTGATGACCAGTGGGGCAGAACTTTTTCATGATGTAGTTTGCTTTATATGATTTTTTTCCTTCTTAATTTCAATTTAATTTTATTATTGGTATTATCACTGGAATATAAATTCTGTCACATTTAAAATGTCATTTGTTACTTGTGATGTTTTTAAAAAACACATTTAAAGTAAGTTTTGTGAATATTTGTGATTTCTTTTTCTGTTCCTTTTGAAAAAATAAAAACAGTCCTTGTCTGAGTATATCTGCTTGCTATTCATATATTCAATACCAAGCCTTTCAAGAATTCAAGATATACCATAGTTTATTGTATTATTTTCCATTTGTGGGATGTTTCCCTCCTGGTTAAATTTCTCCTTTCATTTGTTGTAGTTATGCTCAACTTACCTTTTCGGTCTCTGCGTTCTGGATGGTGACCATACAATTGAAGGGTAGTATAGGTTTAAACCGTATTTAGGTGCTGTCCTAATGATTATATCCATTTTAATTTTCCAGAAGCTGAATTTTGAGCTGAAGGACCTGCTACCTTGGAACCTGACCTTCTGCTTTAGCTTGGCTGTGGAGAACATTCTTGATTGTGGAGAAATAATTCCTACGAGGAAGCAATTTGTATCTAAGAGCTATCATGTTTCAAATACCATTAGTAGAAGAATTTAGCAGTGCTGATCAATTTCGATAAATTTGGAAGAGAAAACAGAGATTTGTAAATTATTATGGGAAACAGAATCTGCAGATTGGTGGGAGGAGGGAAAAGAGACCAGAGGAGGAAGGAAGCCATGTCCTAAATAAGACAGAGCTTGGTTATGTCCAGGTGGTGCTGTAGGGAGAGAGAAAAATGCACTAAGCTGCCCCAGTGTCCAGCTCCCTCTGGAAAGCACTGTGCTTTAGGGTAAAATAGCCTTCAATGGAAAGCAAGCAGAATTAAAGCCCATCAACCCAGGAGTGCCTGGCTGACAAGTCCAGCCGTAATGGTGAGGAGAGACAGTAGTTGATCTTGAATCATCCGAAACCTGGTTCCAGAGCTCGGTGGGTGCTAACTGCAAGGACATACCTCGAGGAAGGAGTCTTTTGAACCCAGAATGGATCTTCAGGAGGGAGCAAGCTCTGATAAGGAGGATGATGAAACATGGGAAACTATGCAGCCTGAGCAGAGAAGCAAACATACTTTATAATCTGATAGGTCAGCCCTGGGAGGGACATAACCCCAGAAATTGTAGGGGGATGTAAACTGGCTTGTATATGTTAGGTCTCCCTAGACTTTTCAGTGTCTCAGTGTATCTTGTTAGTATTAGATGTGTTCATTATGGCAGGTGTCTGTAAGTAACTGTCTATTGTCAGTCCTTCTCTCTCTGGTTCCCTTTCCTTCATTAGATTTTGCTGGATAGAGGACTGACTGTAATGCCTATTGTTCCACACTGTTCCATACCTTGCCCACCCAGCCTAATAATTGTACCCCCACCCCCATCTCTACCCTCTAGCAAACTCCCTACCTGGCCCGATATCTACCCCCTTGGCATTTATCATGATCTAATATTCTATGTAATTTACCTATATATTATATTTATAATTTACTATCCGTCTTCCTCTCCCAGAATATAAGCCCCATGAAGGTGGAGGATGCTGTCTCTTCTCTTAGTTTTTGTTTCCCGAATGCCTAGAACAGTGCTGAGGGCTTAGGAAGTATCGAGTAAGTAAATATTGCCAAAATTGTTGGGTCCTTCGTTAAATATCCTGGTTAGTGGCATATATCTGATGGTTCCATGATTCTCCATTCTTTGCAAGCAGAGCTGCAAAGCCAGCTTTTAAAATGAGCATAGTCTCTTGTTTCTCTGAGCTGGGAGCAAGTGCAACAGGATTGGCCTGAAAGGAGAGAGAGAACGTAAATTCAGCTGGGACTGGGACTGACCTGGGACCCAGAAAGACTGAAGCACAATGTAAAGGGCTTTCTGCTCGAGTTGACTCTAATTAGAAAAGGCCCAGAATTTCCCTCAGTGCCCAGCTTACAGTTAGGAGACCTTGCATCTAATTCTGTTTCTGTCACAAATACACTACATGATGTTGAACAGATTACTGTGTTTATTTCACTGTTTATGAGATGAGGGTAATAACAGTTTACCTTTTCGTGTTGCATAAAGCTTTTTAAGATAACAACATGAGACACAGTAAAATGCTGTAAAGTTGAAGATGCTAAACATTTGTAAACACACTATTATTATTAAAGCTTTTATCTTTAAATCTTTTCCCTAAGATACCATATTGCTATGTGTAGGCTGAGATTTTAAGGCTTGATAGATTTTTTTTTTTAGCTAATACTGTTTGCCTAGTTTCCATAGGAGACATTTCCTGGTTTAGAATATCAATGAGTTTATATATATATATATATTTTGTATCTTCTTCATTCGGACATGAACTGAGGTTAGTACACTGGCAATCAGAAACTGATGTTTGGTTATTGAAGATCACCTACTTGAGCTGAGAAAATCCTGAATTTGAAGTGAGGAGTGGGATAAACGTTGCATGGAGGGCCTGAGGGGGAAGGCTTGGCAGGTACCGAGGAATGAGTTTGGCAGGAACTCACCCATCAGGTGCATGGGCCATAAAATGAGGCCACGAGGGACACAGTGTTCCTGATGACAGTGTTAAATCCGTTTCAAATAAAGTGAACTGTTTGCTTAAACTTTCCTGTGTTCCCTCAGACCTTTGGTGCTGAGAACCAACTCAATATAGAAATTAGCTCACCCAGAGACCCTGGGGCAGAAAGACTCAAAGTACAGACTATTGTATCAAAATTGTGTTTAGTAACACAAAGGTCTCAGGAAATATTTGCCGTGTTGCTTTTTAGAACTTTCTGGTGTGAACAGAATTGCCTCCTGTTTTGTTACAGCTCTATTATATCTTATCAGTCACATTCTTTTAGCATAACATTTGAAACAAAGTTTTTAGCCTGATGAAATACATATGTATTCTGACAAATCTCTGCTCTTTAAATTTTTGTTAAAATTATACAAAGAAAATTGCTTAGCATCCCAAGGAAGCATTGATTATACCTATTCCCGTGGTTATTTAATGCTTTATTTTTATTTTTACTTGAACTCTTTTTTGACTACCTTTTCTTCAGTGATGATTGTTTCAGATAAAGCTGTCTGATATAGAGACATGGTTGCTAGGGAGACAGAGTCATGATGGCTGATGTTACCGGGGAAGGTAGAGCGGTGAGTCCCCGATTATAGAAGAGAACCATTTTTCATTCTCCTTGAAAGCGAGTCTTCTTTATACACAGATGACAAGTTCACTAACCCAGTAGAAATAAGACTTCAGAAAGAAATATGAAATTTTAATGTTTCCTCAGAGTGATGTAAACCTAAAGACATTTTTTCAGGCTGAATGAATGAGTTTACACCCACTGATCTATTACTTGGTAGTGAACATTCTTTTGGAAAAACCAAAATGGTGCAAATCTTTTGGCTTATAAAATTAGGCAAGCTCTCTAAGGCCTTGGTCTCATCATCTGGGTTGGATGAGGAATCTTTGTCTAATATTTCTCCCGTCTTCATATTTGGTTATATGCACATCAGTAAAGACTTACTGTGATCCAGTATGTGCTAGGCATTTTACTGGGGACTTTTCATACATTTTCTAATTGAATGCCATAATCCTGATGCAAGGTATTGTTATTTCAATAAACACTGGAAAGTGGTCTATGCAGTGGAACAGGAGGGATCTGAACCCTGTTCAGTGCCACTAAGTTTTTTCTGTTGAAACATCTCTTGTAATTCTATAGCTAATGAAGAATTGAATAAATACACAAATACCAATTTGAATAAATACAAATATACCAATTTCATGTAAGCGACAATAGCACAGGTACTTTTCCTTTTAGTTTTACCAATACCTTTAAAATTTCATATATGATAAAGTTTAATGAAAGAATTTTAGGAGATTGTCCTGGGTTTTGAAAAACAAAATATGCTAAACCTTACTTAAGTTTACCATTGAAAAGCTTGATTGGCTCCTTATTGTTTGGATCTCTTCTAGAATGGTTTAAAAACCCTCACAATGTAACTTAACTGAAAAGAAAAACTTACTAGATATCTTGTATACAATATTGTGCTAGTATGAGTAAAACTGTCATGAAGTTCTTTATTTATATAAAGAGTGGGGATATTATCAGATTATAAAAAGAAAGCGTTTTCACAGAAATGCCCCTTCAGTATTTGAAATTGGCAGTCCATCCTATCACCCATATGTTGACCTTCAATTTTAAATGTGTTCATCTGCAGCACCCTGTAACACTTCAGTGACGTTCCAAGGCCAAAGAGCATCTGCAGCTTCTTCTGAGATAAGAGAGTGCTCAGTTTATAGAATATGAGCAAAGTACATGGGGTCAACCACAGTCCTTTAAGAAAAGGTTGCCACTATTTTGCTTCATATATGAAGGCATGAGTCAAGCTGAAGAATAAATTGGCACCCCATTAGCCTGAGAAACCACATCTTACAACCCAGAATATCTTTTAGAAAGCAAAAGTGGATTAAAAAAGAGAAAGAAATATTCTTGGAGAGCAAGAATTGCTCTTGAGTGCAGGTTGTATGACCTGAGAGAGATTTTTTGAGGCAACTGTGTCTGGGTTTTCAAAAGCACTGGATAATGTTATGATCAGCATTAGTCACTTAGAGCCTGGTCAGTGGAGATATGAGAGAAAGGTTATTTAAAGGCTTCTGAATATGAGCTTATTGCCCCTGGGAATTACGGTTGAGAGTCTTTTCCATGAAGTGCTTTTTCCTATACTGTACTATTTTTTAAGAAGCAAAAAAGAAAAAAAGTTAGATCCCTTCCTCTGAAATACCTTTTGTTGATTGCTATAAGGGGCAGGACTTTTGATTAGGTAGACTAGGTCAAGTACAGCAAATGCCACCCTACTTTAGTAGAGGTTGCTTAGAAACATAGTGTTTTGGGATCACTACCTTAATGGTTATCTACAAATTTAACCCTGCCAATCTCTTATCTCACAGAGGACATGGACAAACTTTTAAATGACTCCAATTTTAGAGTTTGTGACACTGCATTAGACGTAAGCCTTTGCAGCAGACTTGAGTCTTGAACACAGACAGAGATAAGAGATTTATTTGAAAGACAAGACTTGTTTCTCCAACTGCTGGGTGCTCATAAAACATGGCAATCAGATAGAGCTGTGTGAGTTTTGAACAAGGAAGAGAGAGGAGGTATTCTTCCACACACTTTGTGATTGTAATCTATAAACCAGCTTTCAAGGAAAAGCCTTATAGTCACTTGCCGTATCTATGCAAGTTGTTAAGGGAGATAGTGACATTAATCTATAAGATTTTGTTCATAAAGGAGCCAGTTTTACTGCTTTAAAGGATTTGAATGATTTAGTGAGTCAAAGTATTCAAATTATTTGTGTAAATTCCCTACACTGATATAGTATAGGGATTATATGGTTATGTACACTTCACGAAACATCCAGAAATTAAGCAGGAGGCCTTGTCTATAACTTAATGTGGGCCTTATATAGAACAGAAAATGATACATTCAATTCAATCCCAAGGTATCTATTGAATCTATATTTTTTGTCAGGCATTGCAGCTGTGACTATGGATTAGCTATGGAGAAAATTCCACCATTAAAAAAGAATATTTACTCAATATACTGCCAGTGAGACAGATTATACAAAACGGAGCAGGATTATTTGACCTTAGTTGCCATGTCAGCCTTTATTACCTATTCTAAAACATACAGAATATTGGTCCATTACAGCAAAGACCCAAAAGAACTGCATGTTTTTAGATTATTAATCACAAAGATAAATAATTTCATGAACATGTAAAATCTCTGTTCTTTGGACACACACAAATGATTGTTGCTACATTTTTCTTTTCTTTTTATTCTTTTTAAATAGGCAGTAGCTATAATTGATTCAGCACTACTTTAACAGCATAAGTAAAGGTCTATTTGCCTTGCATGATATTAAATTAAACCTGTTTCAGAGATAAACAACTTAAATTTTAATTCTCCACATTCAAAAGTGCATTTGTGCCAATATTTCACTAATACAAGACATCTATCTTTCAGACTTTGATTCGATGTTTTGGTCGTCTTTGATTTTAGG